GGCCTAGAGAATCTACCACTTAGATTGCGATAGAACACGCTGCTGCACTGGTCGTTGGTTCATACTGGTCGGCTAGGTTAGGTAGTGGAAACTCACACCTTCTCTACAGTAGTTTACAATTTTTTTTGGAACGAATACCACTTGGTACTAGAGGTTCGTAAAATACAGTAGATGTTTTATTAAACAAGCCTTTCGACCGTGTGACGTCGACGGCCTGAAACGGGCTGGCTGTTTATCTGGCTCTAACTTGGCATCGAACGCAATCAGGGGATTATCGTATCATGTTTCAAGACGGGTATATCTAGATAAAGTTCGACGTGAACCAAGCTACTATATTAATTGGATAACACATTATCAAGGATAAGTACTGAAGCTTGCTTCACGTCGAACTTTTATCTAGATATACATCCACTTAACTAGAATTAAGTCACTTAAGTTAAGTGACTTAACTTTACTAGAATAACGGTAAATTAACTTGCTTAACGGTAAAGTCGGCTCGGATTAAAAGGACACGATTACGTAACGTAGGCATCTAAGCCAGCTTTGTTGTATTGTACCACCATTATCATCTTCTGGCTGGCAACAACGTACTTCAACAATGCTAACAACAGCATCGAAGTAGTCTCATTAGTCTGGTTTTCAGGAATTATTTGTAATCATTTGGGTAAACACCCAGCAAACGTCCGTTTTACGAATAGTCGGTATTACCAATGACCTTTGCCTTTTTACATCATCGACCAAGTAATAACGTTAAAAAGTCCGATTGCGTACGTTTTTCAAAGTGATAATGTATAATTTTCTTAATAATAAAATCAGATTTGTTGTATTTATTTATTGACAATTCAATCTTTTCTATTTCTGCTATAATAGTCGCTATTAATTCAATTTCAACGAACTACCACCAACGTCAGTCGTTAAAATGAGCGCACATGTTTTCGAAAAGCCTGGTTCACGTCGAACTTTATCTAGATATACCCGCCTTGAAACACTGGTGTCCTTGGATTCAATTATGGGTAACCGGATTAGTTAGCCTTTTTTATGAGGTTTTAATTGTTCTTTACCACCGAAAGTGCGGTATTCTAACGTTAGTTTAAGGAGGGCTGGTCGGCCTAATGCCTTGCTGTACATTTTGCTTGCGTCCTTGAGCAAAGCACTCTCTCCACCCAGGAGTATAAATGGGTACCTGGTGGGGTTGCTTGCTCCTGTGCTGATTACCAGCACCATCATTTAAGCATGTGGATCCAATGACCAGGGAAAAGAATAGCTTTGTATCTACAAAGAAAAGGCGCTATAATAAATGATTTAATAATAAGTACAGATCTAGTGTTTCTTATGGTTCTGTAAGTATAAAGTGGATTACGCCCTCTAGAGATAAAAAAAAAGACTTTAGATCTCTGCTTAAGTTATACATGAAAGTTTATCTTTATAGAATAAATTATGGTTTAGACAATACTCATTTTAATACATGCAAAGAAAAATAAAGACAGGTTGATTTGTAAGAGGGATAAACATCTGTTTGTGCAGTATTTTCTAAAAGTAAACTTAATATGTTTAAAAATATACAGTACTACATAAATGTTTAAAAATAACTAAATCTGTTGTGACAATCCATGAACAAATCAACAATAATCGTTGAATTGCTGTATTAGCATTACAAAAAATATCAAAAATTCATGATTATAATGCAAAAAACCTGTAATATTTTAATACATGGAAAGAAAAATAAACGACAGGTTGAGTTGTAAGAGGGATTAACATCCATTTCTGCAATTTTTTCAACAAAAAAAAAAGTTTTAAGAATATACTTCTACATACCTACATCAATTAGTTGTTACAATGCATGAACAAATCGTTTGTCATCATCACTAATTAATAATCAACCACTAATAATTATTAACTACTAATGTGATAAATATCAACCACTAATGTAATAAGACACTAAGGCGAGACTTCTTTATTCCTTGTTTCGCGTACTTATTTTTTTAAAGATCATCCAAGAAGGGTGGAATAAAAATAAAAATGAAATGAAAAGCTATAAAAAAAATTTTTTTATAGCTTTCTACTACTTTACTAGCAAATTGAATCTGATGACGCTAGCTTTAAAATATCATATTTGAGTAAAATCGTGTAAAATTTGCCATTTTTTGGGTAAAATTTGGCACTTAAATCCAAAATTCAGCGTGGCAACAGCCCATTCCCTTTGATCCAAGAGCTGGTGATGAGCATCACCTTGTTGCGTAACTAATGATGCCTAACGAAAAATAGGTTTTAAGCACTGTCAATCTGATGGCCTCGTCGTCTAAAATAATACCCCGCCGCCGGGCAACATCGTGGTTCCTAGTCTTCGGGGCAAGAATTTTGATTACTAATGTATTATTATATACTGTATATATCGTATATTTACTAAATTAATATAGGCCTATATCTGTTTCCATCGGCCATCATTATTTTTTAGTCTAGTTTTTGAGGACTGGGCGGTATTGATTACTTACAGAAGTAAAAGTACCAACATAAAACTATGGACGTGGGAGGGAGGTGCGCATTGATTGAATGAGGTGGATTTTACTGTTGTCACACGGATAAAGTTTTTTTTTAGTTTACCAGAGAAAGTATGAAATAATTATGGCACAATGAGATAATGACGACGAAGAAGATGGTAGTGATGTTGACAAGGAGTGATGGAGACACTAATCATACCTGCCAAATTCCTGGCTTGCGATTCCATAGCTACCTCAGCCCCACCATGTTGAGGCTGAGGTGCGAGCCATCCCTTGTTGTTGAGGCTGAGGTGCAGATATATTTTTATTTATACAGCACCTCTAGATGTCTGGAAATCGCACCCCCAGGAAAGTGTCTTAATTTGAAAATTAACTTCATTTCATTTTTTAGGCTTCGTGCGCCAACGATATGCCAATCAGCAAACTTAATCACTATCCAACGTTGCAGTGGTATTTTTTAAAAAATATACATTGGTCAGAAGTTCATGCATATGATGATCTGTTTTACTGCCATCCATCACGATAATATCGGAGTTCGAGTGACAATTTTTACAACTTGGCATGTGTAATTGATTATTTAAAAATTATTAATATTTTTAAATTATGATGTTCAGTTAAATTCAATGATGATATTTTCTATGAATTGCTTTATTACATTTTTTTTTTTCAAAGGAGCGGTGCCCCTGGAGATCTGGGGACCAGGTTTAATGAACCGCCTGAAACTGTGGTAGTTACGCGTAGGCCTACTATACATAAATGATAAAATATATTTATAAATCTATATCTGTAAGATTAGTGATTGGATACATTGTGACTACAGTGCTACATTATACACAAAATGAAAATAACAGGATATGATACTTCTATTTTATTCTTAAAATATCTCATTTATGACGGACTATCGAATAATAAATGCTTTCTTTTCGGAATAGATTGACAGTACAGATCCTGTTCCATGGTTTTGTACATTCAAAGTGGATTACGCCCTCTAGAGATAAAAATGTTTCAAACTTTTAATAGCTTCCAGTTCTCAGCTTAAATCTAATACATGAAAGTTCATTTGAACAACTTTAACTTTATCTTTATGGAATAAATATGGTTTGGACAATGCTCATTTTAATACATGAAAGGAAAATAAAGACCGGTTGATTTGTAAGTGAGTTGAATATCCGTCTCTGCAATATTTTGTAAAATACGGTACGTTTTAAAAATATATTTCCAAAAATAGCTACAACTGTTCGTTGAATAACATTATGTATATAAAATTATTATAAGTTTTCATAATGTTCATCTTATTTTTCTTCATGCTCCAAATTCGAAGTATCCAGATTTCTCCTAACACTCTTAATATGTAGAACGTGAGGTGATCTCCAGTGCTACACCGATTTTTAAAACCGCTTGCAAATAATTTTACTAAATACAAAATAAAATCAATTTACCAAATCAAAAATAAAACATATCATTAAATTAACATTAGCAAATATAGCCACAATTCTCGATTATATATAAAGCAGAAACGTCAAAGATCAGAACACAATATGTAACATGAAAATGTATGTAGTCCTATAGACTTGTAAGTTTGTCGTTTTTGTCGTTTTCGTCGTCGTCATTAAATGCACCATTGACGATCCCGTCGAGGGCAGCTGTGGCTTCCTTCTCGCCTTGTGTTAGTCTGTCTTTTTCATTCGTCTCTTCGGGTGCGGGAGATGACAGAAAGCTTTCATCTGACGGAAGTGTATTTACGTAATTTGGTTCAGATGAAGGTGGAGGTGGACCCGGTACATTTGGCGAGGCTGGCGGTAGGTGTTCCCCTGACGGGAGCTGGTCTATGTCTGCTGAGGTTGATTCTGTCGCTGCAGCAGGTTTAGCAGCCGCTTGATCCCCAGCTGTACTGCCCGATGAGCTGCTATCGCTTGTATACGGCGGTGGTATTTCATCGTTTGCTAAGTCAGAAGTTGGCGATTCTACGATCACTTCTACTACACTAGTCTCAGTTCTTATTTGCTGCTGTCGAACCTGCGTTCCCTTCTCGTTTGGCGCACTTACGTCATCCGATTTACCGTTATCATTGATGTGTAGTCGTAAGTTGTGCCCTTTCTCCATGGAAGACTGCATTTCATAGTTTTCTGTTTGGTCATTCAAATTTCTAAAAAAAATAGTTGATCACATTTCTTTTTCATTATTCATATTATTAGTTTAATGTAGGCCAAACTTATAAACCAGAAAAAAGTTCTATAATAATCATGAGTATAATATGCCTATAGTTTTGTTATAAATAGGCTGTAATCATCGCATGCAAATTAATATAAACTTTATGTACCGTAACTTTTCTCCTGTATATATTATGTTGTTGGAATTTATATCTTTACTATTTTCATCTTTTTTTTTTTTCATTTTTATCTTCATCAGCATTCATCATCATCACATCACCATGCTTCAGTCATCATTACGTTAACGCTCAGCATCGCTATAATAACAAGATATTTATGATAATGTATCTTACATGTATCTTACATGTATCTTACATCCATAATCCGCCTGGGTATTGGGGATTGGGGGACGGGACAAACCATGTATACTTACTTGAACTGTCGATTAGCCTGGTATACGGTGTAACCAATGTAACACATGCAAATTACACCCAAGTAACATGATATAGCGATGGCCCATGGAGGAATAGCCAGCTTATAATCTGTCTCTGGCTCGATGGGTGCGATGCTGTAATCCAGCATATCGTCGATTGTATCGTCGTTTAGTTCACACATCAAGTAGAGCTCATGGCTTCTGAACGCGACTGGAAGTACAATAGATCCTGACGGGTTGACCACCAGAAAATGAATGATTACCCGACTGTTCATTGAAGTGACGTCAACGATTAGAACATTTTTGGGCCTATGGAAAAAGTGGTCAATGACTTAAAAATAGTATATACGCCGTCATCATTTCAAATTTATTAATTTACAAATTAAAACGTACCGGTAGTGCTGTGAAAACAGTTTTAAAAAACTCCTTTTAAAAAAACTTCTTCCTGAACCTATCAGACATTTATGATAATTAATTGTCATGTTGTCCGTTGCCACTAGGGCCATCAAATAGATGTTAGGACGATTATGTTTCTATGACCCACTTCGATTATTTTAAGTACCCGGCCAGTTGGTAGTGTGTACTGCTTAATATAACTCACATGACAGTAAGGATGACGTAATCATTAGAGACTTTAGCAATAGCTTCCTTGAACTGGTCTTGAAAATGTTCTGTGAACTGAATTATAAAAAGAGAAGAAACAATAATGTAGGATTCATATCTGGGAAAGTTAAACCTACTACAATATTGCAACATAATAACGTAACTAGAAAGACTTGATTATAAGATAATCTATTACAGACAATCTTGTCATTATATTTTCAAGGGTAAAATCGGGGGTTTGAATATTAGGCCTGAATTTGCTTTCAACTTGATCCCTGAATACGGGGGGGGGGGGGGTGGGGGGCGGGGGGGGGGGTTCTAAAAACATCTACGGTATCACTTTAAGCATATTGTTTTGATATTTTTGCCCTTTTGTAATTATGTACTACAGATTTCTTACTGTCAAAGACAACATGTTGCCTTTATAACGTTCAATCATAAAGTGTTGTGTTGTAATGCGTTAAAAATGCGGTGGGTGTAGTTTTTTCCATAATTCCGTAACTGATGTGTATACTTACTTCTTCTACTTTGTCGATGCCGTTCACGTAGGCCATAGCAACACCCATCTCCACAAATTTCTCACACTTCATGAAATTGAAAAACATGTACAATAATGAAAACATACTTTGTTTGCAAACGGAATTTGCGTCAATAAATGTTAAATATATAGGCCTACCAACGTATGTCTTATGTCTATTCGAATGAGAATAGAAAACAATCTTACTTGTTCATTTGAATATCCCTCGCAAGTTGGCTCACCTGCAAAAAATAAATAAATAAAATGCTTAATGTGGTTTAGTATTTTGAAATGTAGGCCTATTAGAATTCGTCTTATTAAGGTTGTTACTGGTACCTTAAGTTAAGTAAAGTATCTTTTATGATGATTAAAATTAATCTATATTATTTTAATATGATATATGTCTGCAGTTAGGGTTTTACGGAACCCTTTATGCTGGCAACCGCAACAATAATATCATCTTCACCCTAATCTTTTCCATCTTCTGCTCGAGTCACTAAAGTAGCTACCGTAGTGTGTATGATGTATCCTGTTACGAAGTGTGCCCGGAAGTGTGGTAGAAAGAATGGCAGGTAAGGTACCTGACATAGTCCGCGACGAAAACGCTCCTTCTTTGGTCGGACAGAGGGCCGCAATTTGACCAGTACACCGGGGTAACCCCCTACTCTTCTCGAATGATGTACTGGGTTCTTTAAAGTGCACATGAGCCAATTGTGTACACTGGGCCTACGGTTTAGAGTGCTTATCTGAGAAGACTTGTTCCACCACCGGAACCATAGGCGAGCGTGCCGTTCGAACCAGCGCCGATATTCCCGTCTTAACTGCTCGGCCAATCGACTCTCTTATGTCATGTCCATAATCATAATCATCGTCATAAGCACCATCAACATCACCATCATCATCATCATCATCATCATCATCATCATCATCATCAAATGCTAAGCTAGCTAGCACTAACGATTACCGTACCTTACCTTATCAAGTGTGAATATTTGTATAAGAACATATGACTCTTGGAGAACATTCATAGAATGTAAATAAAATATATAGTATATTTTATTTATAGTATTTATTTTGTCTTCTTGATTATCGAAAATACTGAACGCTATTATTTTTCATAATGTCTGTATTCTGTTTGAATGTATTTATGACCCCCAGTGCGTTCTTTCCCCATGTTGGTAGATATAATAGTGTACACACGAGTGCAGAGTTCAAACTAATATTTGATTTTGGTACTTGTAAACTGATGATCGTACTTATCCCTCTTAAAATCTTGAGCAAAAGGTGAACTTTCAACTGTATTCAAACAATGAAACTTATTGGTTAAAAGCAAAGTGTAGGTCTACTCTGTATTTTGTATTTACGACATCGGATTTTTTGAAATGTTTGTTTATAATAGTTATTTTTATCTGATCCACTAGAACTATAAAATCGTACTGTAAAACTGCAGTATACAGTGTAGATGATATTTATTGTAAATACCATTTTCCTAAATGAGCCCCTAAGTATTATATAACTCGAAATGTTGCTCAGGGATAATAAAATTCCATCCTTCCTATTAAAAGTGGCTATTATGCCAACATTACAAAGTTCCTACCCTGCCATTAGATAGTACCAAGATTGTGACAAGAAAAACAGGAAATGAAAAGCGATAAAGCCAAAAAATGAAACTAATAAATAATAGTGATAAACTAATAATATATTAGGGGATAACATGGTACTCTGTATTACATTATAAAGAACGCGGAGACTATTTTTAAAACGAAAGGAGTGTACTGCACATAAGTCTGTTAGCATAAAAACAGGGAATATTTTCGACTGACAAATTATTATTTAAATAATCATGTTCAAAAGATTAGTAGACAGACATTTACTGGAATGTGTATCCGCACGATTCCGATTCTGACTGTCAAACTATGTTCATTTTATGATCTTATCTTGTTGATAACTTATGACTAGAACAATGTAGATTTCAGCACATATGATTCTGAATAAATGTTTCAAACATGATCGAGGCCTACACCTCGTTAAACCTGGTATAGAAATAATTGGTAAACAAGGATTCATGTCGTAGTCCTGAACTACTTTGCCAATGTTTTTACACATCTTGTTTCATATTTAATAATATGAAGTTTTTAATCTTAACCGGTGGTACTAATAACTGCTACTGAAGGTTCCATTCATAATCTCATGTGAGTTATGCCACAGTTCTACTATATGAACTGCCACAGCTCTGCTATATGAAGTGAGAGTCCAGAGATCAAAACCCCTCCGTATACAACTACGTTGAATTTTAGGCACCATTGATATAACCATTATCTTTATTGAAAAATTTGGTTCAGATACACATTAAAATATAAATAAAAAGAAGTCTCACCTGCCACAATACCAGTGAATGCTAAAGCACAAGCGACAATGATTGTAATACGTATCATTTTGTAGAGCAAGATGAATAAATCTCGTCCGTGAGAGTCACAGCAAAAATTGTTAGGAATACGGTGAACGATGTGAAGGCGATGTCTCGTCAAGTGTTTACCTACAGTACATAACGCCCTTTATTATGGATAATTTACCTTTATGGGCAAATACACTTATCGTGCTGTGATACGAACTGGAATTGATTCTGATTAATTCCATTAACTTATAAGATTTGTTTTATGTTAACATTAATAATATATCTGTCTTTTCCTGGTAAGCTGTTGAGTTTAAGTAATTACCTTACATTGATTGCATAAATGTGAATACTGAATATTTATAATTTTCATTTAATTTATGCAACGTTATTTCTGGGCCCCTAACAGCAATGCTGAATAAAGGGGCCTTAGTTGGTGGTTTTAGTTCGATTGATAGAAGTTACTAGGGCGCCGAACACGGAGCTGGACCGATAACCCATAGAAATTGCCAATTTATTTATTTCACCCAGATTGCGCACAAACTTGTTGCGAAATACGGGAATGCTGACAGTAATGATGCTTTTGACTATATATAAAACATAATAATACAGGAACTTGTACCGCGCCTTTTTCCCAATGGATACCGGTACAAGGCGCAACATAGAGCATGAGTTCTCTCTAACTTAAGTGGATGAAGACTATGTATTAAAGAGTTTTAGCTCCCTGCAAACTACTAAACAAATCTTATATACCTGAATGTTCAATAGTTGTGGCTCTAATACAGTACCCTCTACAGTACAGTAATATACTGCCATACAATAATAATTTTCTATGTTTGGAAAATGTGTAAAAATAAGACCATTTTGAGCCTGAGATCAGCAAAAAATTAAGAAAACTGAACCTGGGCAAAAATTTGCTGGTTCTTAAATAAACAAAAAGTGTATTGGTTATCAAATTAAGCGTTTCCCCAGAAAGGACCCCGGCGTTACATAACTGGCCAAACCTCCATAGAAAATGCTGGGTCGTAGTTGGAGGGAAATAATAGAAAAGGTAACAAAGGTTTCACACTCTCAAAATACAAGGTCCAATAACGGAGCTTGAGGCCCGGCTGCAGCCCCAACCGAAGAAGCTATAGAGACTTTTGAGGTATTTACAGGCCCGTAGCCAGGGGGGTTTTTAGGGTTCGGGCGAACCCCCCTTTTTCAGCGAACCCCCTTTTTGCCAGCGAACCCCTTAGCCAGAAAACGATCCCCCGTTTCCAAAATAGTGCAATTTTTTACAAAATGGGAGCATTTTTGTCGCTATCGATCGTAGTCCGATCGTAGAAATCAAAACAAAGCTGCAGCCAGCTAGCTGAATGACGTAACCAGCAAGACTTCAAAATGAATGAGAGGTTTGTTGCCTAGGCTATTTGACCAATCGCGTGCTCCGGAGTTTATTTACTTTGGCACTACGTCATCACAAAAGTTTGGGCGCTCGACATTTTTCATTTCTCTGGGATCGAGGATATGCGACACGCCAAAAATAGCCTAGGAGGATGAAGCGCCGAGAAAGGATAACCGATTTTTTTGTTTCAAGGCTGACATGTACATGCTTTTAAAATCGTAGTAATGCTCTGGCTTCGGGGGCTTTTCCCCCGGCCCCCACAGGGGCTTAGCCCCCCCCCCTTGACCCCACCCGGGCCCTTTGGCAGGCCCCTGGACCCCACGCCCAGAACCCCCCCTTGAAGCATGCTGGCTACGGGCCTGATTTAGATGTCTAATTTAAACAATTATTGACTTCCAGCACGGGGCCCTGGGGAATTTCCCTGCCTGTCTGCCTTCCTAGCTTCGTTAGTGGACGGATGAACGGTTCTGATTCCAAAAAAGTAAATTTTCACAGTGGCGAATCTAGGGTGCCGAGAGAGAGAGAAAAAAAGAACTCTAACAAAGGGTGAAATCGTTTGTGCTACCGACCCCGCCAAAACATCTTGGATCTACCCCTGTTTAATTACGTATTTGAAACAGCCGGAAAATGGAAATTAATTCTGAAACACAAGTTGACTATACTTAAATTTATTGATTTGTGCAACAGCTACTCTCTACTATTGATCTCTTTGAACATGCAGACACATCAGATTTCCTGATTCCTGGAGGGATTTGACAAGAATTCGTCATAGAAGCAAGTTGAAGATACAACATTAGTAGTGGAGGTGTTAGGCATACTCCTCAAGTTTAGGGCTAATTAAGTGTACATATGCATCAAAGTATAGTTTATTATAGAAAATTTTCAAAAGAAATAAACAAAAATAAAACAAGGAAAATTGAGGTTTAAAAGTTGTTATCGTTATCAACATTATCATGATCATAATCGTATTTCATTGTTATCAACGTAGTTAGAGTGCTGTATATAGGTAATTTTCTAGCATCTACAAATCAGTGACATCCAGGGGTGGCGCCAGCGGGCGACAGGGGGAGAGCAAAAAAAAAAAAAAAAAAAAAAAAAAAAGACCCATAAAAAAAAAAGAAAAAAAAAGACCCATATGTATTTTCTACACATTACAAGTCTCCAAAATCGATTAAATATGCCTTTGAAACCCTAAATTGTCTTATTTTTTTCTTCTTTTGAGCGACGCTCGACAACGCCCACCTTTTTACGTCTAGGTGGGAGGGCGAAGGGGCCCGTCGAGGACATCAGATTCCCCGTCTGGAAAATCGTTGTGCCAACACTGGTGACATCAGTGACACCGGTTACATCGGTGACATCGGTAGTAGCATCGGTGATAATGACTGGAGAATCCGTTGTGACAATGGGCACCGACTCAGTGCAATTCTGACAGATGCCCAAACCAGTATGTATTTCGCGGATCGCAGTCTCCACAATACCGAAGCCAAGATATGCGTACGGCATGCGAATGTGATAGTTCAACAGTCCACACCTAGTTAGAAAAAGCAAAAACCACATAAAATGTAAATATTACTAGAGTTGTATAATGTTAAATAATTTAAAGTTTTTTCTATTATAATTGAGTGTCTATTAAAAATATTTTGTTTATTTTGTCTGAGTTAGGCCCTACACTTTTAGTGCTGTAGCAGTGTTCCACAGCGGCTATTGTGTAGCCTACGCCCCTATATGGACCCAAGTACGGCTCATGTAATTTAATTGTTTCTGGTTCTTAAACTTCATTGTTTCTTTTGTCTGTCGTATTTTTGACTTCTTGTGGAGGGGCGCCATGAGCGTTTTCTTTAAACGGATACCGGCGCTTTTTTTTATTATTATTATTATTATTATTATTATTATTATTATTATTATTATTATTATTGTTGTTGTTGTTGTTGTTGCTGCTGCTGCTGCTGCTGCTGCTGCTGCTGCTGTTGTTGTTGTTGTTGTTGTTGTTGTTGTCGTCGTCGTTATCATTATCATTATTATTATTATTATTATTATATTAAATAAATTTGTGTTCCGCACGTCACCTTGAATGATCGCCTTCTCTTTGAGTTTAAATTGTATGATCATATACCTAGTGAACTATCACTATTCGTATATATTAGTCGTTGAAACAAAAAATTATGACAACAAGGCATGTAGACTGTAGAACACTGTATTTATTTTCGAAAGAAATTCTCGGCCGGTCCTCCGGCCTTCATCAGCTTTACTAAATGCACAAGATTAGCTGTTGCAAGTTGTATACTGTACAATATAGACAATACAATAGTAATGTAGACAGATTATAGGCCAATTATCTAATAGTCAAAATTATCTAAAAGTCATCAATGAACGAATAGGAACATGTAATAATCGTACCAAGCATAAAGCATAGCTCATCAACGAAAAGTTCCTTTTTTATATCATGAAATTGTATTATATATATGCCATGAAATAATGTTACGTTAAACTATCAGCATTTATGCTATTACACGTGGTATTTCGATTTGATGGTACATAACAGTGAGTGAGAAAAAAAAACAATTTTGTTCTACCTATCATAAATCAGAAAGTCATCTTTAGCTCCCTCAAGAGTGTTCCAGATATTTAACAATGGTCTGTCTTGGTACACAGGAATATATGTACGTTTTTCTAGCTCTGATTTATAGATTATAGACCAGAGTTCTTTGCTGTTGACGATCATGAATTTCACATCATGTTTATCTTCAGAAATAAATGTCTGTCGGAGTGCCTCCAAACTGAAAGTACATTTAAAATTCTAATTGCAAAAAGTTATTGCATTCGACCTACGAACGGGTACATTTCGCAATACTGTTAGTGAACAGTGATTAACATTCCGTTTGCTTACGCAATTTTATTACTGAATAAACGCAATGTTATTATTGAGTTGAAACCCTACCTGGAAGCCTGCGACAGACAGAAGCCTCAGCTGACTAAAAAGAGGGCTACAATTGTGACACTGCCCATAGACTCCGACAAAGGATTATGATTGTACATTTAAAATTCTAATAGTTATGAAATAATTATAGATATTGCATTCGACCTACGAACGGGTACATTTTGCAATACTGTTAATGAACGGTGATTAACATTCCGTTTGCTTACGCAATTTTATTACTGAGTTTAAACGCAATGTTATTATTGAGTTGAAACCCTACCTGGAAGCCTGCGACAGACAGAAGCCTCAGCTAGCTGATAAGAGGGCTACAATTGTGACACTGCCCATAGACTCTGACAAAGGATTATGATTTTCGATTTTCCATTCCGGAGTTTTCTGACAACGCCATTTGGAGTCAAAAGGATCAACGGTGACATCGGACATAACAGTGGTACACGTCACCAGGAAGAAAAACTTGAACATAATGTCCTCCGAGCCCATACTGGGCGACTTCCCTGATTAAAATGAAAAAAAAAAATCTTTATTACCATGGCCATTTGACGGCAAATACTCAAAGTCTACTCAAGAAGCTGATATTTCAAATTACAGTAGTGGCACCAGCGGGACAGAAGGGGTGAGGTGGGGAGCATCCCGTTTATAGATGCTCGAAACCGACAAAGGATTATGATCTTCGATTTTCCATTCCGGAGTTTTCTGACAACGCCATTTTGGAGTCAAGAGGATCAACGGTGACATCGGACATAACAGTGGTACACGTCATCAGGAAGAGAAACAACTTCAACTTGAACATAATGTCCTCTGAGCCGAGCCCATACTGGGTGACTTTCCTGATTAAAAAAAATATTTATGACCGTGGCCCCTTGACAGCAAATACTCAAATTCTACTCAAGAAGCTCATAGGCCTATCCAATTGCAGGGGTGGCACCTGCTCGAAACATAATTCCTTCGGGAAGTAAAATAATCCTGACAGAGTTTTGAATAATGATTTATTTAGCAAAATGGGCTGATTTTTCAGAAATAAACCATATATCTTTATCTTAGATTTACGTTTTTATATAGACCTACATTTTGTTTACAGATCGTTTGTTTAGGAAAGAATGTATTTTTTAAGGTCTAGAAAAGTTTGTTTAGGCTGTTATATGCCAAATATACAATACAATTCCCTACCTTAAAAACTACAGCAGCGTCTTATAATGTTATTAAAACCCGAACAACACACTGTCTCGTTGAATTGCGGCCTGCCAAATGATTGAAAGATGACTACACTCCTAAAATATAAAATAAGCAATTAGTTCTACGTTAGTAAAAAAAGGAAATGACGAAATCTTACAACAATGTAAAACCCGAAAAGTTACAATGTTTATTACTTCCTGTATCCATTACTTGACCTAATTCAACTTACGGCGGAACGTTTAAAAGATTATACAAGTTAATTCTAAAACAAGTAGGTCCAAGGATACATATTTGTTACGGTGGCACATCGGCTACATGATATAACACGTTCATGTACAACATTGATTAATAAAGTAATAGGCCTATATTTCAATCTTTTTTAAATAGTATAGTTTTTTTCCAATTTAGGATGGACAATTCCTTGTGATATGGATTACCAAACTCAAGTTACCAAACTAACAACCGGAAATCCCAAGTTGACGCGAATTACGATATGTTGACGCGTCAAGCCTCGCTGTTGGTTTGCAGAGGACTACGAAAAATACGGTAAAGGCTAAATCCACCATCCACGATGAACATTATATTTAAATATAATGAATAATTAATTTACCAGACCCAGGAAGTGTGACAGCTGTATGAGCTGTCAAGCGAGCGTTGGAAGGAGTGGGATTGTATCTAGGGTCTAGGTAGAGTGTCTAATAATAATAATAATAATAATAATAATAATAATAATAATAATAATAATAATAATAATAATAATAGTAACAATAACAATAACAACAACAATAATAATAATAATAATAATAATAATAATAATAATAATAATAATAATAATAATAATAAAGATTTATAAAGCGCACATCTCCACCAATGGTGCCTAAGGCGCATAGACAATTAAACCAACAAGATCCAAATAATTCCCAGAAGAATTTCCAGCAAAATCCAAATACCAATTATCCCATCGAGGCAATGTTGCTCCCCACATAAGTATACGCAGATACCCAAAGGCAGTATGTTGAGCATCAGCACCTTCCACCCCAGGATAAGCCCAGGGCTCCACTACCGTGCACTGCAACAGGAGCTGCATTGCGTCGACAGAGAAATGTGGTATCATGTGTTTTTTTTTTTGTTTTTTTTTTTATTTAGTTTTTTTTTGGTGAATAATATAAATTCAACAGAGAAACATCAAGGTAGTCTATTATACGCCTCGGTGAAAATCCAAATTAATTCCAGAAAAATTTCAAGCAGAATCCGCATACCAAATTATCCCATCGAGGCAGTGTTGCTCCCCATATAAGGGTCTAGGCTATTTTTGTCAATGATAAATGTTAACTGGAGCAGGAAACAGTTAAATGTAATTTAACTGTTCCTGGCTGAAGTCTGTGTGATAACTCATGGACTCTCTGAAATATTGAATTTAATTTTTATTATTCAATGTATTTATGATGAAGTAATTTCTTGTACTGAACATTTTTGCTTTTGCAAGACCAATGTATGTACATGAGTGGAAGCATCATGGTCTGCAGGCCTGTTCTTTCTATTGTAGGCCTAATAACGTCGCTAAAACCATAGACCCCTTTCAATGTTTACATGTACCATAGAGATATAATAAGAATACTAGAGCGCAAACAGCAATGTATTCGATGTTCGAAATACGCAGAGCTGTGTGTGTGTACCATCCAAGATGGCTGCCATAGATTCAGCCAATCAAATTTCCCCTGAGCACTATCATTTTCAATTGCGCCCTCAATTTACACAGAAAGTTCAGTACAGCTAGTTAGTTACCTGCATTTTAAAACTCGAGCGTTGCGGTGTATGGGTGTAATGTACACGATTTTAATTGTTTTTGATATTTGAATAAGATGCTCTACTTGTCCTCTTTTTGGCTACGACAGTTTAATAATTTGTCATTATCAATACTAATTATCATTAATGAAATAATATTCAGTCAGAGGGCTTATTTATGGTAATAATATGTATACTAAGCCTGAAGGTGGCGCTTTCCTACGACAGCCATCTTGGATGGTACACATACACAACTCTGCATTGCTCCGCCATCTTGTCAGCACTCTAGTTGTTTAATAGCTCTATGACATTTACCCAAAGAGCTTATAAACACAAGATAGCGTTCTACGCGATTTACGCGTGCAAATTCTGTAATAACCCATGAACGGCGACCTCTTGCAAAAATGAAAACTTTTGAACTTTGACTGCTCTGACCATAGCGTACGCCGACGCGTAACGCGAACATCCTATCTCAGATCCATGGCAACGAATAGGACGCCCTCTCCCAAACCTGATTACTTTTCCGTGCCAAATCGACGCTTCTACGTGTTACGCGTAAATCGCGAAGAACGCTATCTTGTGTTTTATAAGATCTTTGATGATTTACTAGCTACCTGTATGTTGATTTACCTGTCTGAAACGCTGGTGGCGCCCTACCTGGTACGCAAAAAGGATTGCCACTGTCTGACAGTATGAAAGCTAATGGATAGAACTCATATGACATGGTTACATATATTAGTAACCGACAAAAAAAAAATCTAAGAAATTATATATTTTTAAATATCTTTAGTCAATTTTTACAGTTATTATCGTCTTATATCCTTGGATGTTGCCATGTGCAAGCGCGCTCGCACTTGGCTACATCGCACTTGGCCGTAGTGTTTTCGAGGGAACGAAATAATATTTCGAGGGAACGACATAGTATTTCGAGGGAACGAAATCATATTTCGAGTGAACGAAATAGTATTTCGAGAGAACGAAATGATAGGCCAATTTCGAGGGAAATAAATAATATTTCGAGGAAACAAACTACTATTTCGAGATGATTTCGTTCCAGAATTGATTTCGAGGGAAAATAATATTTCGTTCCCTCGAAATAGTTTAATATTGTTTCTAACCATGTTCCTTTAGGGGCACCGTACTACTGAAACACGTGCAGAAATTCGGCCTATGAGTTAGAACGAAGGAAAAACTCTTTTTCTTTTTTCGGCACAACAAAAATAAATGTAACCCAGTGTATTTTGCTATCCTTTCTATCTACTAGGTAGGGCACCGCCAGCTTCAACTTCATTGCATACAATTTGCTGATGACGAAATAATTATTTTGATGAATATTTAAACTTGTTCCTCGTGGCTGGTGGATTTAGTCTTTTTCCAAAAATACAAGTACCTGTATGTGTACATTTAATATATATGCCGCCCTCTAGACTTACGCTTTTAGTTTCCATATTTTAGAAAACAAAACATTGAGAAATTGAATCAAGATTCACGATTCACTTTATTTGTGCAGCAGAGGAAAATAAATATAAACAAATAGGGTACCGGTATTATATAGGATCAAATAATGTTATCAACTTCCAATGAAAAACAGATTTAAAAAAAACATTACGCTGATTTATTAGACTTTTCTCTCTCACGAATCCTTAATCCTTTTTAAGTAATCAAGATTACAGTATTCAATATAGGCCTATTTAATGTGTAGTTGATATTTTACGAAGTGCGTATGTAATCAATACTACTAATAATGTAAGTCATATATAGCGCATAATACAAGAAAGTTGCCTCTATGCGCTAATGAAGATAGGCCTATTAAGCTTTTTAGATAATTAGCGCTTTATTTTTTGGTTTGTAATGGATAGAAGACGCTATCAAACTGCTTTCACAGATATTGCTTTAAATAAGTAAAACGATTGATGTCCTGATTAATTAGTACCATGTAGACAATTTTCTCCATGTTAGTACCGACTTATATTTTTACTTCAGGAACCTGAATATGAATTATTTATTGTATGTTAAAACTCTATGGTTCCTCTTAATATTCTGAAAAAAACGGTAAATTCATGTTGTGATGCTGCCTTCTAATAATGATGGACGATAGAAGTTTATGGTTCTTCTAAGTATTTGAATCTTTGGCAATTAATTTATACATTGTGTTTCATTAGTGTTGTTAACATAGCTGTGGTCTGTCTGATTGTGGCAGGATATGTTGTTTGGATGACTTGAAATTAGTATCTGCAGCAAAGGTTCTCATTGCCCAGGAAATTGATGGTTCTGGCAGTACCATCAATTCATGTGTGAATCACATAAATCGCCTACTGTTCAGAGAAGGGTACATGGCGGTTTCACTTTGTTGTAATGTTTACATAAAAATTGGAAGTAAAAACACGAATACTCAGGTGACACATTTTGTTTTGAAATTGATTGATAGAAAAAGAGGACCAAGGAGGACCAGTTATTCTATCGGTCGGGCGGTTGCGGTCCACATGTTTGACAACGCTTGTAGGTTAATTCGAAAGCTAACATGTTTGTCAACACAGATAATCATAACAAAAGGGAATCTCCTCAAGATTGGCCTCACAACTATCCCAGGAACTTTTTTAGCCTTAATTTGCAGAGTGGCTATTGGCTTTAAGTCTCCTGTGTTGCTCCTACACTCAACTGGGAAAGTATTTGCACACACAAACTGTAAGCTTTGGGCCGAGTTTCTAATTACCGTCTCCATGACGACTAACTTCTCCAATTCCTGGGGTCATTGTAATGCATAAGTAGGTGCGAACGCGGGATTTGAATAATTTGGGCTATGTAATTAACGCCTGGTTTAATTTTTAAGATAATGCAAATACAGCAAGCAGATTAAGGTCGTATAAAGGCGATAGTACAAATGGTTAACTGATTCATTTATAATTTCTAGGCCGAGGGAGGGCCAAACATGGCGACACATTTCACCAGCGACGAAGATCATTATTCCCGGTCTCTTCCGAGCTTGAAGGACAAATCGGCCTACGGGTTTTTAACGTGATGTGTTAAGCCTATAGTATTACTTTGCTATAATACTGCAGCGGACTACTGTAGGCTTTTACCAGTGGTGGCAATGGTGGTTGTAGGCCTACTTTTTAGCTGTTCGGAGTTTCTGGCTCATAACGCGGGGTACACATAGGCCTACTGTTGTACATTCTCCCGTAAGTAAGTTGATCTTTACACATTAATTTTGGCATACGGAGCCATGTGTTGACGTTTGCAACTCGGTTAGGTATGTAACAATGTACAATGCTGTAATCAGGACTAATCCTTTGCCTCATTTCCAGCGGAATAATTGATGTGCTTTTA